CTCGACGAGGGGCATATGCATCCATGTTAGCATCTATCCAGACATATGACGCTCCAGACGACATGGTGTTGCACACTGCCGGCCATGCGCGCTCACACTGCCAACGGGCTGAGGGCCAAGGGCAGGGCAGGGCAGGGCAGAGCAGATGGGCGACACATGTGACACGGGCCTGGTCGGCGCTATGGAGCGAGTAGGTAAGGCGAGATGGGCAAAAGGCAGAAGCACAGCAGGGAAAATGTCGTCTGCTGGCAACCAACCCCCGGCCAGCGCCAGCGTGAACGGACAGGCGGACGAGGGGGGTTGGGCCGAGTACGAGGGAGCGAGCGTGTCAGAGTCCAATGACCAGCCTCTGCTTCCGACTTGTTCCTTGCCCATCGACAGTTCGACGGTTCGCGGCTCCGTCCACGAAACAACCAACCGTCCGCCTCGCCCACACTGGCCATCAGCTACATACACTACCTGCCCTCACCTCGGCTACTATCCCTCCATGCATGCCCATACATATATATAACACACACATACAGTACATAGCCAGCCAGTCAGCCACACCAGAAGCAGTAACAACACCTCCTTCATCGTCACCCTCACCCTCAACAACAAACAGCAACTACGTCACACGCCCGCGCTCCCGCCCGCCCCTGTCTCGTACATTGATAATCGCCCGCTAATCGCCTGCCGCGGCCTCTGCCACGAGAGCGTATGGCGTAGACACGACGTTTCCACCAGACTCCACCACTACCAACACCATCACTGCCCATTGCTTGCCTGCACCCCACGCCCGTTACACGTCGCATCTTGCCCCTCGGCCCGCCAACACGCCCGTCCACACCGCCCTCAGCCCACCCAGCGCCTCTTGCTCAACAAACACAAAACGAGCCACCGGGCCTTGATGCACGACGACGCACACCGGCCCTCACCAGACCACCCCGCCCCCGATCGCTCCATGACTACCAACAGGCCCTTTCTCGGGGGCTTCCTCGCTGCCTTTCGCGCCCAGCAGCCCTCTCTCCAAAAGACCGTGTCCTCGCAAGCTGCCTCTGTCGCATCCTACGCCCAGAACACCACCCCAGCACAACAGCAACAGGCCCGTGACTCGGCCGCAGCCGCCTCGCGCACCATTGCTGCAAAGGCGCGATCTCCTTCACCGGGCGCGACCGTTGCTGTCCAAGGAACCGGCCACTTCCAGCCCACCAGACAGCACGCCCCTCCTCCCTACACCCGCTCCACATCGCCCCAGGCGAAAGCCTTCCCCATACCAGGCGCGTCGCAACGGAGCAGGAGAGGCTCAGACAGCTCTTCGGACGGCTTCCATGAGGCCATGGGCGCAGAAAAATGGTATATTGGTGGCCGCACCGCCACAGGCGAGGAGAAGTTTTACAAGCTTGGCATGGTTAAGCGACACAAGAGCGCGGATCGCTTGAGCCTGGATAAGCTCAGCATATGACATTCGCTATAGCTACTCGCATCACTTTGGTTTTAAAAGGCGTAACTGCATCCACGGCGTTTGGGACTCACTGTATACGCACCCTTTCTTGGGGTCAGGATCAACATTTTACGACACTCTTGGGTACACATTTGGCCACGGCCACGGCTGACATGGCCTATATACACTCATATCTGAGCTCTTGATTTGAGCGTTTTGCACTGTATTGCTGCTACTTCTTGTTTTCCTCTTCGAATTGTCCACGTGAGCACCCACGTGAGTGGCCCTGCGCCAAGATACTCCCTTGCACTATTCCCGAGTCCACTCTTGCTCACTTCACTGCCTACTGTCTGGTATATATTGCATCTACTCTGACTACAGCCTAGAACACAATGCCTGTCTTGACCTGAATCGTCAAGACACAGTCACACACCGCCGGCAACGTTTCCGCGCGGACATTCTTGTTCCGATGTACCTGTGGCCATGATCCACTTTTCGGATATATCTACTCCTCGAAGCGAAGATTCTTCACGGAAAAGCTTTTCTATGGACGACGACGCGTATCCACTCGCGGATATGATCCGCCATTAGCGTCCTGCAACCCAAGCATAACCCAATTTGTAGCCCAAACCAATCCTACTTTAATGCTCTTTATTCGCTTGCACCTTTCCTTTATCTGATATCACTCAATCCTCTCCGTCTCATTCACTACTGACGTTGTTTTTGTTTCACCAACTTGCCTTCTATGAGTACGCATAATGGCACCCTCTTCCACATCCTCCTCAGTACCCGCTGGCCCTCAGCATGCCAATCCCGACACCGAACCTGAGAAGCAGTATGCCTCGATTGTCCCTGAACAACAACCCCAGCAAGACCCACTGCAGCTCCAACGCACAGTCTCGAGCAGTCACCACGACATGGTCAATGTCCAATATGTTGCAACCGGCGACAACGACATCATCTACAACAAGTTCTCAAACAGTCGGAAACTAATCATCGTTGCCGTTGTGTCGTTTTGCAGCTTCCTCGCTCCCATTTCTTCCACTACTGTCTTGTCTGCCGTTCCTGAGGTGGCTGCCACTTTTCATACCGACGGCTCTATTATTAACGTGTCCAATGCCCTATACATGCTCTTCATGGGCTTGTCTCCATGCTTCTACGGGCCATATGGCAACATCTACGGCCGCAAGTGGGTTTCTGTAACGAGTGCTGCCTTGTTTACTGCCTTTTCCATTGGCACAGCTCTGGCGCCGAATCTGGCTGCCTTTTTTGTCTTTCGAATCCTTACTGCGTTTCAAGGCACTGCGTTTTTGGTAATTGGATCGGCCGTCATTGGCGATATCTACAAACCGGTGAGTATTGTCTCTTATCCATAACAAGATACAATACGACTTGGACATTGTGCCAGGTAATGTTGTCACTGCAGTCTTGTTGCTCTACTAACGCATTCACAGACTGAGCGCGCAACAGCACTGGGCTGGTTCCTCAGTGGCACGCTCATCGGACCAGCACTAGGCCCCTTCCTCGGTGGCATCATCGTCACATTCCGGACCTGGCGCGACATCTTCTGGCTGCAGACGGCGTTGGCCGGCGCAGCAACCATGTTCTGCTTCTTCCTCCAGCCAGAAACGATCCACAAGCGCCGTGCCGATGAGCTCCAAGGACTACCAAGGAAAGAGCGAGCCGTCAAAATGTGGCAGTGGCTCAACCCCTTTCGCATCATCATGTTGTATCGCTACCCGAATATCCTTCTTACAGGATTGGCGTCCAGTGCGCTCGTCTGGAACATGTACTCGCTGCTCACGCCCATCCGTTACGTCCTGAACCCGCGCTTCAACCTCGAAACGCCATTGCAGTCTGGTCTCTTCTACATTGCACCCGGATGCGGATACCTGATCGGAACCTTTGTTGGCGGCCGCTACGCCGACCGCGTAGTCAAGAAATACATTCGCAAGCGCGGTCAGCGTGTCTCGGAGGATCGCTTACGTAGCTGCGTCCTGTTCCTGGGTGTTATGATGCCAACGTGCATGCTCATCTATGGCTGGAGTGTTGAGAAGCGTGTCGGCGGGGTAGCCCTACCCGTCATTATGATGTTTCTGCAGGGCGTAGGCCAGCTTTTCTGTTTTCCTAGTCTGAATACGTATTGTCTGGATGTTATGCAGAGCCGGAGTGCTGAGGTTGTCGGTAAGTATCATGGTCTCTGTTGTATGAGATGGAAACTAACAATGTCATAGCGGGCAACTACTTTATGCGATACATGTTTGCTGCCGCAGGATCTGCTGCCTGTCTGCCAGCCGTTCGAGCTATTGGCGTCGGCTGGTTCTCGACTATTAGCGCTGCATTTCTTGTTGCCGGCGCAGCGGGTACCTATGTCACGGCCCTGTATGGTAAGTCGTGGCGCATGGCTATTGACGAGAAGAAGGCGGCTAGTAAGGAGGGCGAAAATAGAGTCTAGTTTGTCGACGAAAACTCGAGTTAATTCCATACTGGGATACTTTGATACTCAAGTCTTGTATGAATATGCAACTTTTTCATTTCTAGGATAATGCGTTTCGCTCAGATTTAAGATTGACAAAACATGAAAAAAAAGTTAATTTTCACCATAGTAGTACATGATTTAACTTGCACACTTCATCAGCCCCCTCGCCCCCCGTATATTCCTTTTAAAAAAAATACAACAAATAAATGGTAGTAACCCTCATCCTACAATCCTACAAAAAACACCAGGCCATCCAACCCAAGCTACCAATCTCCCCCCACCACCACCACCCTAAACCACCAAACCCCGGTTCCCGCCTTCACCAAGCCCACATCCCCACCCGCCCCACACCCTTCCAACCAAAAACAGTTTCTCTAATCCCCCGCTCGTCCAAAAACTAATTTTTTTTCCTTTTCTACTTGACTTGATATTTTTTTTAATCATCTAATCTCTCATCAAACAACATCAGATCCTCAATCTTCGGTATTCGTTTCTGATCTTTCCCTCCTTTCGCCCTGACGGTGGGACAAGGCAAAAAGGTCGCTTAGCTCAGTTGGTTAGAGCGTGGTGCTAATAAGTCACAAATCGCGCCAGAAGAGAGCAAAGTCTCTTCTGGCGCGATTTGGGAGTAGTAGACGCCAAGGTCGCGAGTTCGACCCTCGTAGTGACCATTCTTTTTTTTTCCTCTCTCTCTCCCTTCTCTCCCAAAGAAGGGAGGGGGGATGATTTTGTTTTTTGCTCCTGGGAGGTTAGGACTAAAACGTTTGGGTAAAAGGGTTGTGTGGTCAACGATGTTTGTTGGTTGGTATATAGCTGGGGTTAAGCAACATGCCTGTCTTTTTTTATATCGGACTGGAATAGCGATTGTAATATCTAGCTATTTATTATTTCCTTGCTATATCAGGAGTATATTAAATTCATCGAGTTACTAACATCTTCTTGACTACAAATAATACAACAAGAATCACTTCAGTCACAGAATCCATACACCTGCATTCACGAGATATTGATTCATTATAAATGTAACAAGCATCAAACAATGATCCCACCCGTAATATTTACAAACGCCAGTTAATCATCAGTAGTATCCCCCCCACGTCATATCGCCGGCATGGCATCTTCCAAACTCGACATGTCCATTGTCAGTGCATCTCTGCACGCCCCATTCTCGCACAGCATGACACCCTCTTTAGCAGCATCCATACTCTGTACCAGGGCATTCCTCGCCTTGAGCCACTCACCCGTCCCCTTGCCCACTCGACTGACAGTCCCGAGACCGGTCGGCCGCTCACGATACCGCCTCAGCCATTCATCCACCTTCTGACCGTCGCCTGTAATGACGGCATGCCTAATGCCGAGTTTGCCCGCAACCACGGCGTCCATCATGCTCGGAAACAGGAACGGATGCTGCATAATTTCCGCCTCAAACGCAGAAGCCGTTTCGCGCGCTCGCTGCGTGTACTCGCTGTCCTCGAGCAGGGCACCGAGACGATCGAGGTTCTGGGCCGAGACGCCGTTGGTGCCTGGCTCTGCATTGTCCATGCCGTCCTTGAGCCGCATAATGAGGTCAGTCTGGTCCTCGGGCGTCGAGAAGAAACCCAAATGCTGCTTGTCCCAAAACATCTTCAGCTGTGTTTTCTGGAGGTCGTCGGCCCACTGCAGATACGAGTCATTGAATGTAGCTTCGTACAGATCGATCAGGCCAGAAATGAGGTAGGCGTAGTCATCGGCAAATCCAGGTGCATCGCCGGGGCCTTCGCGCCACACACGTATCAGCGTCTTGGATTCCGAGTTGTAGAGGTGTTTTTGAAGAAAAGCAGCCGCCTTCTCAGCTGCAGCAAGATACTCCTTGGAACGTGCTGGGTCTTGAGATGCCAGCGCAGCCGATGTTCGCGCCAGAGCGCCAATAGCGAGACCGTTCCAGGATACCACAATCTTGTCGTCTAGACCCGGCCGCGGTCGCTCCTTGTTGCGATGCTCGAGAAGCTTCTGTCGGCCCTCTGTGAGAATCCTCTCAACCTTGTCTTCGGAAAGGCCAAACTGTTTAGCCAGGTCTGCGGGTGTCGAGGTAATGGCTAATACGTTCTGGCTAATGAGCTCGTCATGTGCGTCGTGTTCCGGAGCAACGTTGCCTTCGTCCTTGACATTGTAATACCGTGCGAGAATCTCAGAATCCCTTTCGCCAAGTATATCCTGAAACTCCTTCAATGTCCACACGTAAAAGGCACCCTCTCGCTTCTCCTTGTCGTTTGGACGATATAATGAATCGGCATCCTCGGATGAATAGAAACCACCGCTCTCGGCATGCATGGGCGGGCTCGTGAGATATGTTGCGATGTCGTGAACAGCCCCAAGGTGCTCCGGACTCCTCGTCATCAGGTATGCGTCGAGGTACACGGCCAGCAACTGCGAGTGATCATAAAGCATCTTCTCAAAATGCGGCAAGCTCCAATCCTTTGTTACAGAGTAGCGCGCAAATCCATTTCCAATCTGATCATGTATACCGCCCTTGTTCATCGCAGACAGTGTTGCCAGAGCCATATCTTTTGCGTGCGTGCAGTCCTTTGCCCCGATAACTTCTTTAACTGGGTTCGGATATTGCGATAGTTTGAGGAGAAAGTGGAGATTCGAGGGAGTTGGAAACTTTGGCGCACTGCCGAAACCTGCATGGACTTGGTCATATCTCTTCTTGAAATGCTACGCATTGTTAGTAACAATTTCGTATTGTTTGCGCAAGTGGTACTCGCTTCATATGCTTCATCCAGTAGCTCCAGGTCCAGAGTCTCATTCGGTGCACCGTCCTTTCTGCTTATATTTCCCTCTTCAGCAAAGTCGCGTAACTGTGCTGTAATCTCCTTGGCTGACTCAAGACACCTCTGCCGCTGGTCCCTCCACACATCCCGGATCTTCTTCAGGATACCAACAAAACCAATGTGTTCGCCCATAGCCATTGTCGATCCTGGTCCAGGCCAGTAGGTGCCGCCGAATATGGGTTCGAGATCGGGTGTGATAAAGACGTTCAGAGGCCAGCCTCCAGAGCCTGTTGTAGCCTGGACATAGTTCATGTATATGCGATCGACGTCTGGGCGCTCTTCGCGATCAATCTTTATGGGAATAAAGTGCTCGTTGAGTAGCTTCGCAACCTCATCATTCTCAAAGGACTCGCGTTCCATGACATGACACCAATGGCAAGCTGCATAGCCTATGCTGATGAATATCAGCCTGTTTGACTTCTTGGCGAGTTCAATGGCCTCTGGTCCCCATATTTGCCATGCGACAGGATTGTTCATGTGGCCGCGGACGTAGGGACTTCGGCTTTCATTGAGGCGGTTCCTCAGCTTCAGGTCATCGCCTGAAGATGTCATATGACTCGAAGTACCGTGTGCATGCATCCTCAGGATCGAGGTACGGAAGTGGCGCTGTTGCGCAAAAGAGACGGTCGGCCGAGTCAGAGCAGCTGCAGGTGAGACTTGGTAGGCGGATGCCGCGACGACTGGAGTTCTGACAGGACGGCACGAAGCTCGAAAGTTGAATTTCACAAGAGGCATACAGCAAAGAAAAAGAGAAGCATGCACATGCAAAGTCGCAGTGGCGCGTGGTTCGGCGAAACTATGGCCGTTATCAATGAGCATCTCCGACTGCGCTGCCGACGACTCGCATCTTGCCCCGCCCCCGCCAACGACGTAATCTCCGCGACCCCGACTGGCCCGACTGGCTGGTGGAGGCTTGGTCCTCTGCAATCTGCGTCTGTCTGACGTGCAGTAGTTTTGCCTATTTCATCTGCCAATTACAGAAAATTTCTCGAAACGAAAAACCATGTGCCACCGATTGACCGTTCAAATCACCATGTTTAGTTAAGCACCCGCTGAGGCGCAGTATGGAAGAAACTTTTCAAGCCTGCATTAGGAAGTCAAGTCACACTCGGGGTTCTAGCCTACGCTTGTGCTTGCTTTTGGCAAGGAAAAAAACAGTGGAGTCTAGAAGATATCTGTACCATGGGGATGTCTACAGTGGCGAAAATGGGTCTCCTCACCCTGTTGAACATACGACTTCGGTTTGGATAGGAAACTCGCGCGCCCAAGGTACACAAGCACAGCTCCTACTTAGCCTAGCGACTCCACCCGAAGCATGAAATTTTACAAACTGCCCTTGGTCATGTGTCTGTCTTGTGGCGCTGATCCTGATCAGCCTGAAATCCAAACTCTAACTGATTGTACTAGTCATGTTTACGAGGTATTCAGGGTCGCCTCTTGACTTTCTGGCTGAACATGACTTGCGTTTCTTCCGCCATTATCCTTTATGGAGCAGATAAGTGCCCCTGCAGTGAAGTATTTCCATAGTCGATAGTGCTGGCTGGGGTCAAATCCTTTCTGCATTTTCTAATGACGTCTGTATACCGATTATGCTACAAGTATCATTCAAGTTGCCATTTTCGTGTTAGCATGTTCTCTGTAAGGAAGGAAATCTTTAGAGTCCGCGGAGGCATGGGTATCGCACGTGTGTGTCGGGTATGAGTCGAGCAAATGGAAAATGTTCCTCAGTTTGTATGGGTGATACGACCTGGCTCTTTCGGCTGTTTTCTATTTAATGTCTTAGGATTTATTTCACTATACAGAATTACGCACAGGAAATACCAAGATGACTCTTTACGCAACTCTCACTCAAAATTCCTTAAACTTTGAATAACCAGTAATGGCAAGGCAAGCGATCTATTCAAGAAGAAGAAGATTTGCCCCATCCTTCATCGCTGCAGCTAGGCCTTCACAATCTATGCATGTCAGACTAAACCCTCCCTCGTGATATACGAACCATCCCATCCAATAATTCCCTCCCATACACACTTCGATTCCCTTTACCCACCAATCCACCCCATTCCAACCCCCACCACCCCAAGCACAAGCACCACCAAGCCCCTTCAAGATTCCACCCCAAGCCCTCCAAATTAATTAACCACCCTCGCCCCCCCAAATCCCCTGAAACACGGGGTAGTAGTATGCGGGGACAAACCCC